AGGAGTACCTTGTGAAATTTGTTATCAACCGCATAATGCAGATCTCTGGTTTACTCGCAAGGAGCTCCTAAAAACCGCAAAGTCTGTTGTCCTCATATACGAGGCAGCACAGAAGGGAGAACCCCATCAACGCTTTGCACGCCTACACCCCTAGCTTGGAGGTCCTTGCTCCGGGGGAGGGTAGGTCTGCAATGACTTGTTGTTTTCTGGTCGCCTGTAGCCTCTTTCTGTCAAGGCTGTACCAGATGTAGGGTAGATTCGTAATTGTGTTTAGCTGAGGGCTAACCGAGAGACCTACCTGTAAGGAAATTCGTGAGGGACATATCTGCAAAATTGGGAAAATATAGGCCCATACTAACCCGAATTCCCTACAGCTATCCTTACTGCAAATAGCAGACCCAAGCTACCCCTAGGACAAACAGACCCTAAGGGCCTAAGCTGATAGACGGTCCTATAGCCTATAACCGGGTTGGGAGAGGCCCTAGTGGGGACACCTAAGGATACCAAGTTCGCAATTGGTTGGAATTCGGGATCGCCCGAAAGTGCAAACACTAGGGGCGGCGGAGGGACCATAGTAGTGATTGATGCCAGACATCACAAAGGGTCCTATGGAGAACACAAATTTGATTGATCATTCACACGGCGTCCATCCAGGTCGCAGTTCTACGACAGGATCGTACAAGAAGTTCTTAGAATGATCTTAGAACCTATTTATGAACCCCGCTTTTCCACTTATTCACATGGCTTCAGACCGGGACGTAGTGCTCACACGGCCCTTAATGTTATAATGGGTACCTTTCATGGTGCGCAATGGTATATTGGAGGATCCCTGGAGGCCGAAGGCCCTGGAGCCGTAAATCATGGAACTCTGTATAAGATCATCCGGCGAACAATCCGAGATAAACGGATTCTCAAACTAATCCGCTCTGGACTACAAGCTTTTTTGCATATGCCACACGGAGAGATTGAAGAGGCGACCATAGGCGCCGCCAGGTGGCAGCCCTTTGGCCTTTGTCCCCTACCGGCCGAAACAGAAACGGTACCGCTCAGTTAGTCAGTCCGGTCTAGGTCGAGTCCAGAGGAGAATAGACTATAGAAAGGTTAGACACATCGGTTCGGGGTTTTTGGGCGGTTGGTACCGAGTACATCGTGGCTGTACTACACGTGAACCGGAAGTGGTGACGGCTCAGCGTCGAGGGAGACAGACACAGCCAGACCTTCGGAGTGCCAGCCATAGCTGGGGCCTGCGCTGTACTCTGTCAGCACGCCGGGCTGTACAAAGGTCTGGGCTATTCGAGGTCTGCTGGAGGCGAGAGAAGTTGGTGCCCTGCTCGACCCTCCTCCGGAATAGGGTTACAGGGTTGTGGCGCTGCAGCCATAGCTGCAGCTTCTTCCTCAAAGGTCTTGTCAAGAGTGGTGGCGCTGCTGCAGACTTCCAACCGGGAAGTCTTCCGACACTTCGTCGTCATCAGATACTATGGCGCTGGTCTTCTTCTTCATCCTCTGAGTGGCGCTTGGCCTCAGAGGCCTGGTTCAGGGTGGCGCTTCCCTCTGGAGGCTGTACATGGGTGGCACTTGATGAGTCCTGTTTCAGGGACTCACGGGCGGTGATACCGGTTCATCAGGGTTGGGGAGTGAAGCGCTGCTCATTTCTGAGCAGCGCAACGTAGTACTGGGGTTATTCTGACAATTCGAGACTCCGAGTTTAATAAACAGTGTTGATACTGTGTCCAGACTATCATCGTTTCATTGTTTCTTGCATCTGATCCACTCAGCTTTTCCTTTATGACTGGTTGTGAGGATTGAGTGGAGTGAATTGCACTTTCAGTGTACCCTGTCATATCGCACGGTCAAGTCTTCCACTGTGTTTATCTCTCCCTGTGCGGTGTGATACTCCTATCCTCTACCCTTCCTTCTGTGTATGTACGGGCATACCTGGGAGTCTATGTGAGTGAATGTTGGTCTTCAGACAACAGACAACTAGAATCATAACACACGTCTCTTACAAGTGTGCTCTCTCTCTCTCCCTCTCTCCCTCTCTCTCTTTGTCTCTCTCTCTTTCTCTCTAATACTTCCACCCACCCGCGGATGTTTTGCAAGTGTACACTCGAGAGGCCAAGCAAGCAATCACGCCTCAAAAGCCGACTCACACCTCTTCCAAGATCTATGTAGTTCGGGTGTGCCCTGGGCAGTCGTGAGCTCTGCATCCTTGGTGATCCAACCCACTACGTCACTGTGCACCGAGACACATTCACACACGCACACAAACACACACGCACATGCGAAATAGACAGGCTCGACTCGCTCTCTCTCTCTCAAAAAAAAAAAAGAAAAAATGATCACGACTTCATCGCAGCGCGAGGCTGATAGCTGGTATGGGCCTGGCCGCACTGCTCAGGAAATACTAAGTGAATCAGACAATGTATATTCCGCTACATCGTGGCAAGAGTAACACACAGCGCTAAGAGGGGCAGAGCGGGAAATAGAGGAGGAAGAGGAGGAACAAACGAGCGTCAAAAGGCCAGATAGCGTAAGGAAGACTACAAAAAAATGGAATACATAATATAATATATATTTGATGATATATATAATACATAATATGTAATATAATAGTTATCTAATATACTCCCTCTCTGCCTACGGTTTACCGGACAGCTCTGTTTGACGATAAATAATATGATATAATACAATATATATTGTCAAATATATCGTCAAATAGAACTGCCCGGTAAACCGTAGGCAGAGAGGGAGAAGAGGACAACAAACGAGGGGCTGTGACAAACTGTTTCGTCGGAGTAAACATGGGGAAGAGAAGCGGAGGAGGGGTCGTGGCGGCAATATGCACGTGGCAATCAGACAGCAACCACGTGGAACCACGCAGGACCACGTGGGACCACATGCACCCTGTGTGGCAGGCCACAGGCACCACGTGGGACAGAATGATACAGGAAACGGAGACCGACATCACATCTCTTCCCCCTACGTAGCACGAGCGCAAAAAGGACAGATGAAGAATCATTGAGGGAGCAGAGGAGGAATTTCTAGAAAAAGGAAAAAGAGAGAAAAAAAAAAGAGGAAGAGGAGAAGGAAAAGAGACGGACGGAGAGCGGCGACGGTTGAACTGAAGAGCAAGAAATGGTCCGCTGCCACTTCCGAAATCAGAGGAGACATGACATCCGAGGCCCTGTGTGTAAGACGAAGAAAAAGAAAGGAGGAGCGAGAGCGGGAGGGGGGAAGGCGGCAGGGAGGATGAGGGAGGTCGTACGTAAGTGGAAAGCACAGACAAGAAAGGAGAGCGGAGGGAGAGAGAGAGGGAGAGCGGGAGAGAGTGAGGAGAAAGAAGGTAGTGGGTGAAGAGAGCAGAGAAGAAAAACGGAGAGGAGAGAAGCAAGGAGGGGCGGGGAGGGAGGCAACCGGCACCGGCAGAATGAGAATCCCAATTCCGACTCGATCAGCAAGCACAGCAAGCATCGACGTATCCCGACTCGATCAGGCACATCTCGACCAACCGATCTCTCTCTCTCTCTCTCTC